CATTCTTACTCAAACACATTCACATATATGGTGAAAGGAGTCTAAATCCCTCCTAATATAAAATTGCATTATTATGTAACCCAACACAAGTTACCATGGTGAGAGACAGTCTGGTTCAGTTAGGTCAGAGGTCACTGTTTGGAGAAGAAGAAGAAGAGGAAACGTAGCAAAACACAATGTTTTCCTTCGGTAAACATAATGACAAGGTCATTAATTATCCCGATGAAGGCGACAGTGGTCGCTGAAAATTTGATCTTTGTGTAATTGTGTGTTGGAATAAAGTTCAACGTTTTACAATGTATAGAAATATATATCTTATTAATTACATCTCCAATGGCATGAAATACGGGAAATTTGGCCTCAGTACTGCCTATGAGCTAAAGTTCTAGGCCAATGAAAGATGCATATTTACACCAGAAAAGTAACATCTGCAGAGCAAATGCATAATGTTTACCTTCACATATGGTCTGCTCTGTTAATTCTTACGCAAACAAATTCACATATGTGGTGACAGGAGTCTAAATCCCTCCTACTATAAAATCGCATTATTATGTAACCCAACACCAGTTACCATGGTGAGAGACAGTCTGGTTCAGTTAGGTCAGAGGTCACTGTTTGGAGAAGAAGAAGAGGAAACGTAGCAAAACACAAGGTTTTCCTTCGGTAAACAATGACAAGGTCATTAATTATCCCGATGAAGGCGACAGAGGTCGCTGAAAATTTGATCGTTGTGTAATTTTGTGTGTTGGAATAAAGTTTAACGTTTTACAATGTATAGAAAATATATATCTTACTAATAACATCTCCAATGGTATGAAATACGGGAAATTTGGCCTCAGTACTTCTTATGAGCTAAAGTTCTAGGCTAACAAAAAATATGCATATTTACATAACCCTGTCAGTTGTAGAACATCGTAATACACCATAAGCCGCACACTGCGATAACCTTCATCATTATGATTTACACCGCAGGAAGCCTGGAGAGAAATTAAGAAATGTTTAATCACCATCTACCATCCGATCATAATCATCACATGAATATTTACCTTATTCTGCAAACATGATTGTGGCATGTAATCGCTGAGGCACCGACATAGATAAAACCGTTGATAAGGATAATTGACTTGATAATTAAAAATGTGGCTCATTTACATAACAAGAGATAAAGGAAGGCCTATTATAAGAGGTGTCGCGCTGAAACGAACAACATTGAATAGTCTGCTACAATGATGGTTTGCCACGGAAGAATACCCGCGGGTGCCATCTGTTCCAAGTTAATTTGTGAAAGATTTATTGCCTATTGGATAAAGATGAGGTGAGCCAACCTCAGGCGTTGTGATTTCTAAGCGTTAAACGTGCATAGTATGGTTTTAGGGCTTGAAAACAAGATTTTTCAAAGTCAATATTCTAATCACTTAATATCTGCATGGTAAGTCGACTCAACACTATCCCAATGTATATCAACATTCATGGAGCAAAATATGAAATGTTGTTTAGTGGTGAAACGTACTGGTAGGATTCTGAGCTGATATATGGGGTGCCATTCAAAAAGTGAAGGGCTCATCCTGGGCTTGTTTCTATGCTGTTTTAAACACCCACAATTCAAGATACTTGTGCTAATGTAAGGTAGTATGTGTCAATATCATTCAGAATATTTCCAGTTTTGCCGCCCTGAAATTGCAATGGATGTATCAAATGCACTGTTTTGTGTTTTTCAGGAGGAGGTACCAGCGTCCAAACCCCAGACCATCCCGGTACGCGCATGAAGAAGTGTTACAGCCAAAAGGAAGTACAAGACGGCGATTAAAAAAACATCACCGTGGAAATGTTCTAACGGACCATTACTGACTTTGTTCAAATACCCAAGACGAGCGAAAACGAGGAACATAAAACACAGTAACGATAGTGAGAAAGACCTCCGACATATCATCTAACTCGGTTGTGTTATTGGAAAAGCTATTCCTACTTGAAACGACCGGCGGATTTCTCACTCACATTGTGGATGATGCGTCTAAGAGAATGCGTCTATGACTGTATAAAGCATGCAGACTACCGCGCGGTATTGTCCTTCTCAGAAAGACGTACCTTGATCATAAATAGAATTCTGCGAAACTTTCATTTTAAGACGACGATTTAAACATCCCCGAGGCTTACTCTTAAAGGGGAGAAATCGATAAAATTGCCGAGAAAGGAATGCATCGA